CTTCAGCATAAAGTTGAACGTTGTGTAGAGTGCAGGATCTCGGTGAGGTGATATATCTTTAGACATTTTTAAATCTTCTAACTTAACGCTTGGATCTAATCTAGCTTTTAACTCTTGTTTGTTTGATGGCAGAAAGTCAATGTCCTTATTCGAGTCGGAATCTTGGTCGGTTGAGCTCTTGGGTATCTTGGTGTTACTGTTATCAATATCTTCTGTTCGTTTCTTTGAACTTCTGGTTTGCATTGAACGGTTAAAATTTTTTTAAAAACTTTTATCAAGTAAACAGGCTACAGCTGGTATCACAACTGGGACTCAAAACCTGTTAAAGCACAAGGTAAGCGTTTGTTGCTTCACCCCATCCGAGAGCAGTCCCAAACTTCAATGATGAAGAAGTGGAACAGATTGGGTGAAACAAGAACTAGCTAGCTAAACTCCCAACCCGGTACAAGACTATGCTACTACATGTACAGTATTTTAGTCTAGTCATGTATAGTACTCTCTAAAACTTAACACATAGAACGTGATTCAAACCATTCAGTTGAAGTATTTGAATTTCCCCAGTTTCCGCTGTCTTTGCGCCCCTGAGTGAAATGATTCCTTTTTGCTTATTACTCTCTTCCACAATTCTTACATCCGACCTCAAAACTAACTCTGAGATGTCATGTTTGTTGTTTGTCAATTCTCCAAGTCTTGCTAAGCCCCAAAACGCACAAAGAACCGTGTTGAAAACGGCCATTTCCTTCTCTCCTTGCCCAATGAATTTGGATTCCAGATGCAATAGGTGATTTAGATGCACCGCTTTCTTCAATACTTTTGGAATTGCAACATTCATTTTCTTGGAAGCGTTGAGCATTAGTTTAATTGTTGTGTTGCTCACTTTTGGGAAGTCTTCTCTATGGTAGAGGTGCCAGGCCTTCAATCCATAGAGGTATTTTTCTAAAGTCTGGGATAGGATATCTTCCTTCTTTGGGCCGTTGCTTGTTCTCCCTGCCCATAGACAGAAATCGTAAATTTTGTCTTCTGTCGCTGGTAGAGTAAATTGAGATGATGACTTCTTCATCCTATACTTTCAACATCATTCCTTTACAATTGAATTGACAACCACAAGGAATACTGGGTGAACTATTAGCTAACCCTAAAGCTTAATTGCACTCTTAAGCTATCATTTCTTGATTGTCAAATCCCAGACGTGCTAAAATTACATTGCAAATCAACCATTTGCTCTCTTTACTTTCTCTTCTTGCAAGTTCTTTGCTTCACTTTTTTCCACAATTGGCTATAACATATCATGGATGGCTTAGTGCTACCAAGGCAAAGAAAAGTCCACTGAGTACTTGGTGTTTTGGGATTGCAGTGTAGTGCAGGCCACCTGCCAGCGCCCTGCTTACACTATACCCACCACTTGCATGAAAAGACCAACCTGCTAGCCTATGTGTAATGGAGGGATCTCCATGTGGTAGCCTCAATGTGACAGTGGCCAAGTTCTACCACACTGTAATTTTGGGGTCTGAGACTGCAGGAAGACTGCTGTGCTGTTGTAATCCACAACAGGGCAGGTTGCATGTTGCTCCATCTCAACATCATTGTACAGACATAGATTTTCCCTTGTGATTGTATCTATAGACCTTCTATAAACAAAGTTCTCAACAGATTTTGCTTTGATGAATGCTGTGCAAAAACCACCAGTGTGATATTAGCCTTTGAACCTGTATGATAGAACATAACATGAAATAAACAATGACCTTGATTTACAAGGCCACTTATAAGTATCTTCTTTATATTCTTTCCCCTTCCAGATTGGGTGTGTATTCCTTGGCAAGTCTATCACAAGGACACTTGGAATCCCATACAATGTCCAGTCACTTTTTCAGAGGAGTAGTTGTCCTGACAGAGCTCCCAGTGTGAAAACCTTGTGTCATTTCATGCGCAAGACATCATATGGATATGAAAGCCCCTAGATGTGTTGATGACATTATGAGTCATTCACGGTCAAAGCAATATGTATGTAAGTTAGATGAGCGGCAGTTGTTTGCTAGCCATGAAAAGCACGGATGATAAAAAAATGACAAAAGCCACAAAGAGACAAAATATACGTATAACTATTTTCTGTGGAATTACTCGAGATAAACGGCTCATAACCTATGAGTCATTCACGGTCAAAGCAATATGTATATGAGTTAGATGCTTTGATAAAGTGAAGTTAAAGGATTGAACAGATGAAGAACAATCCTTTTTCTGTTTCATAGGTAGCGCTTTATAGAGGAAATTTATGTGACACTAAGAGTTAAAAGGAAACAGCTAGACGACAAATGTAACTATAGTAACATATTAATATGATAAAAGAAAGAGAAATAACAAATAGAGATATGCAAATCTTGTTAAGATCACACTATGCCACGCTAATGAAAACTTCTCAACACTATTTGCCATAATGAGCGGTCAGTAATAACTGATAGACATATCTTGAGTGCCAATCCATTCATTAAATCTTGAGAAACCAGGATTTTATTCAGCGTAGAAGTGTTTTTGTGGTGTACTGGCAATTGCTTTGCACATAGTTAGGTATACTCATTTCTCCTTTTGACTTCCTCTCAGTCCTCTATTTCCCATTGGTAAAGGATCATTCATAATCTAGTACTAGCCCTCAATGTGTCTTCTCTCTTTGAAGATCACTGACCATCTAACTTTGGCACTCAACTTCCCAGATAGCTTGAAAACTTACTCTGGATGCACAACCAAATGAAAATAATATGACCAAATTTTATTTGCCTGCTCGTTTCTAGGAGGTGTGCAACCCTGGACCTATTATATTCTCTTTCTTTATAATCACTACTTGTTTATTCAAAATATAATGGTTAAAAATCAATTACCAAATTTGTATGTATATTTTTTTTAACTGTTACAGACATTTTCAGAATTGATGAAGTTAGAGCATCCACTATTGTCTCTGTAAATGGCCTTGGTACATTAAATCTTACTGTACAGAGCCTCAAAATCCCCAATTGTGTCCAACACCCGCATTCATAGCTACCGATTTGGTGAAAAATTGGTACAGGTCTAGTAAAGACACTGGACCTTCACCCAAACTCTCCCAAATTGGTAGAGTCAACCATAATCTTTGAATTATCCCAAAACACTTCACTTTTCATTGTTTCACACAACTTCCAATCAATTTTCATCAAAATTAAACAATCAATTTTATAAAATCAAACAGACAATTAATTTTTGAAATTTATATTCAACCACACTAACACCATCAACATCACCGTCAAGAAATGGTATTAAACAAATTCAACAACAACAATAATAATTTGCTTGAGTTTGAATCATCATTCTACAATGTCTCTCACAAGTTATATAGTCATTGTCTCTTTTTCCATCTAACCCCGTCTTGCACGTTCACATAGCTCCCTGTTTTATCTATCTCTTTGACTTCATGAATGCTGTAAAACTCTTCTTACCCTTGTTCTTCATCTAGTCTAAAGAGCAGGTTTTGATTAAAATTTAGTTCAATTTTGATCTCACAAAATTAATTTGCCAAAGTTGATTAGATAAATGAGCAATTCTTTTCAACAGTCAAGTTTCTTAAATCAAATGAGCATCTTTGAAGTCTGACTACTTTAGGTGGTAAATCAAGATGATTGATCACATAGCCATACATATGCTTTTGATTCAGGATTAGACTCATTATCTAGTAGTGAACTGTCTCTTTCTTGCAAATCCTAAAGTTTGTGCTTTGCATATATTTCACAGAAGACACAATAGTGGAACAGAGTCCATTCTGTACAGTACCTACTGTACAGAATGGTATATACTGCAACAATAGTGGAATTACATGTTTCTGCACGTACCAATACTGTAATAAAATCACTCACATTCTTGAGAAAAGAATATAGAAGAAAGAACAAAACCTGAATTATTTTCCAAAAGTCAATGTGTGCTTTTGAAAAACTCTCCAGTTCTTTTTTTTTGAAAAAGTCATGTGAAACTTGATGATAGGGTATATTGGCTCAAAATCCAATCTTTTCCTCAAGATCCCAGGCTAGCTTACAAAGAAGAAAAACTCAAGTGAAGATTTTTCATTGATTCTGAAAAAAACAACTTTTAGTGTGTCTTTCCAATGTGTTACAAATTCACTTTTTTGAAACCTAATCTTCAAGTTGATGATCAATTACGGTACTCAAAGTCAAAAGGTAGAATCTACCTTTTTGCAAAACCTAACTTTTTTTTTAAAAAAAAACTTGGCCCCGACCAGAAAAAATAAGATTTCCTGTTTTCCACTGTCAATCACCTACTTTCACCTTTGTACATACATCACCACAAGACAAAGGTTGTGGGGTGAAATTAAGGACCAATGAGACCTTAGCTGAGGCTTGAAACAAATTTAAGGACAGAGGTAATTGGACACTGACACACGGCATGATTATAGCAAGTGCTGAGTGCATAAGTAGGCACGGGGTCCTCAAAGCCTAGGAATTTTGTAGTTTTTTTTCTCCACCAAAAAAATCTAGGTTAAAAAAAGTTAAGAATCTACCTTTTGACTTTGGTCCGCTAATATATTTAATTTTTTTTTCTCCACAAAGAGATCAATCATCAACTAAATCAAATTAAATTCTAGACCATGTTTTTTTTGTTTTTTTTTTTTAAATTTCATGAATCTTAACAAGAAAAGGATCAGATCAAAAAGAATTGATGATTTACAAACACAATCTGATCCTTAACAGTTCAAACAGATTTTGATTTTTTAAAAAAAAACAATTTTACAAGTTTCAATTTCAAACCCTCAGTCACACATTGTTTTTTTTTGATGTTTTGATCACCACCTCATCCTCTCAACAAGACTTCAAGTCTACTTTGATGTTCCAATAGAGTCTTTACATCTGAAACTCCCAAATACTTCACTGAAGAAGGTATTATTATTCATATTTCTAACAATTACAAAAAGATTGAAGTCTGTCCACAACAACTGGAGTGAGTGCAAAAAGTGCAAAAGAAGACTTTTCCGTGTACGGGAATCGAACCCGTCTCTACTGCGCTCATGAGACATGAAAGGCAGTCATTCTAGCCGATATACTAACACGGATTACGTAAGCGGAACCAAATTAGGGAGTGAGAATTAATTTCTAAGACTAATAGACGACTTTCAAAAACACATTTCTTGCAAAACCCTCAAGTCAAACCTTAAATCAAAAAGAGAAAACATGCAATGATAAAAAACAATGAATTCAGAACACAATGTATTCAAGAAATACAATTAAGGCGCTTAATAAAGTGTAAAGGAGACGGAAAGAAGGAAGCCAAAATGAAAGGTCAGATGGAGAGAAGAGAAGATTGAGAAATGAAGAAGGACCATGTACGGGGAAAACGGTGTCCAAAGGAAAGAAAACTAAAAGAGGACAAAAGCCAAACAACCCTATATAAACCTCGATAGAGATGTAATCTCTGCACGAGGTATGAGTAGAAAATTACGAGAAGACTCAATGAAATAATGATTGTTGATATCAATGTGAAGAGAATGTATGAAAAAAATTACCTCACTATTCTTGAGGTACAAAGAGGCTTGTAAAATTGATAAATGAACGAAATCAAAGTATAAAAGGCTTCCAATCTTCAAATAACAATGATGATGGAATGAAGAAAACTTTCTTCAGATGCCTGAACGGTCGATGTAGGCCAGTAAGAATGTCACAGATAAGCTAAAGGTGACATATGGGGTGCGCCAATATCAAGTCCACCGATTGTTGGATGCACTACCCAAGCTATTGTTATTGCTAGATGGTTGTCGAGATGTAGGAGTTGAAGTCTCGCCACGCTTGTTAACACTTGTTGACCGACTCAAGCCACTAGTTGTCCTGGATTCCGACATAGTGTTTGTATCTATGTGTTTGTGACTGCTACTACCGAGATGATATGATGACAAGAACCCATTGAGGTTCAATCGCCTCCTCCCTGAGGTCTCAGTCTGTGCGGTCCGGGCATGGTCCGCAGTATTGCTCATGCTTCGACCTTTGGAAAGGAAATTTGGTCGACTCATTGATTCCAGCAACCCGCCACGTGTGGGAGAGAGTGTCCGTTGGCGATCAGAGGTTCGTCGTTTGATACCGAAGCGTCGACGGCTTTGAGGTTTCGTCTGAGATGTTGCCCCGTTGTCGGAGTCTGTGGGATCCTGATGTGACCGGTGGATGGAAGAACTAGAGTGCCTGATTAAAGAAGGCTGAGAGGGTGAAGTGATGTTGGCTGTTGTCGCAGGCTCGTTGAATTTTTTCATTCGTAACTTGTACTTGTCGACCACACCGCGACTGAGCGATTCGAAGTCCGATCGGATGAGGATGTCAAGGAGAACATGGAGAAAATCACAAAATATACAATCAAAGGCACAGATTGAAGACCGATGTTACCGATAAACGAAAAAGAAAGAGGTACAGATCAGAAGAAAAGAACATTTTGCACGAAGATTCATTCATCTATCCCGTTTGCGGAATATACGAAGGATCGCCGCTCTTTTTTTATAAGAATGAAACGGAACTGACGCAAAGAGAGTATTGTTGTTTCGTTTTCCCCTTCTTCGCCCACCATTCAAATCTGTCAGGCCATCCTCGGGAGTATCGACCACATCCCAATCTTCGTCCGCAGGATCGTCCAACTTCTTCTTCGAAGACATGGCGGGTGAGATTCCGTCAGCCACAGCGAGTTCCGAGACCATCTTGCCAGTCTTTTCAATCGTCTCTCTCTCGTTGCTTGTCGGCCGAGTCGATGAGGTAGAGTAGAGCTCATCGGAAGCATTTGAAGTAGTGGTCTTGGGACTTTCACACGACTGATCGTTGGACTGGCGCGTCAATCCACTATCATCAGTATCACCTTCGACTTCCTCTTCAATGATGGAATCCTTATCGGTTCTAGGTGCAATGAAACTGTAGCCATCGAACACATCGTTTCCATCTTCGTCCACGGCCTTCTCTGGTTCAATCTTACCAGGCGTTTCCTCATCCGAGGTAGCTTGGTCCTGAGATTCAGGTTGTTGATCATCGCCATCTGCAGCAGACGGTGAGGTGGGATCCTCATCTTGTACATGAGTTGGTTCCATAGCAAGGAATGTTTCATCAAAGTTTTGAGTGTCAGTCGCATCGTTTGGGTTGACTGCAGGAACATAAGGGGGGATGTAACGCTTGTGGCGGACACTAGATGAAAGAAAGGACCTGTCAATTGCCCATATCAGTTGATCCTCTTTCGATTTCGAACTTACTGGTCCCAATCAATCATGCCGAAATAAGGATGCTTTTTGATCCTAGCACCTGTCATTCGCACCGCCGGATTACGCTGTAATAGCTGTGGATGTAACATATCGAGGTGAGATCGCGCCAGCACAAATGACAAGATCAAGGACGATACCCACCCCTCGTAACAAAGTCTTTGTATCATGGTCCATGACTCGGCTCGAATCTTCGACAAAGGTCAGTTCATCATGCAAAACTCGGCGATACATCGTGGCATGGTCTTCGGACCAAAAGGGTGTAAGACCTGTGAGCATCTCATACCTTGGTCATTGTGAAAGAAGGTCAGCAGCGGAAAGAAGGGTATATATTGGAGTGGTGAAGACGAACGACACTCACAGCATCGTACCGAATGACCACCAATCAACCTCATAACTATAAGGCTCTCCCAATAAAACTTCTGGTGCCAGATACTCCGCTGTTCCGCAAAATGTCAAGGTTCGCTCTTCGGTAGGCGCGTCAGCAGTCGCAGGGGCAAACTGTTTACTGAGACCGAAATCAGTCAGGACGATGTGACCATCGAATGCGATCAGGATGTTCTCTGGCTTCAAGTCGCGATAGATCACCCCTGACCGATGTAGCGCGGTCACGCCTTCGGTGATCTCAGCGGCATAGAATCGCGCACGATCTCGCCCCAGACGCCCCCATCGAGCAAGTTGAGTGGCCAGGTCACCACCTGGATGAAAATCCATGACTAAGAATAGATGGTCTTTGTCCTACGAATGACATATTGCAAAGTAACATGATTAGAACATGGAGCTAGGAGTAGGAGAGATATAACATACGTGAAAACTCCACCATAATCTCACGATGAACGGATTACTTCCAGGTTCGTTCGCGACGCGTTTTAGCACACCTTGTTCTGTCAATGTATGTTGAAGCTCTCGATGAGCCAAGACGTGATTCTTGCGAATGCTCTTCATTGCATATACGCGTTGTTTCTTAACACTGCTTCCGTGCGAAGACCGGTGCCTAACCATCAAGACCTTTCCAGCGCAACCTTTACCCAGCACGCGAATGATTTCAAAGTCTTTGACATCAATCTTGGGTTTTGATACCAAAGGAGTGATGGGTTCTTCAGGAATTGGAGGAGTCACGGCCGAGTCTGTAAGATGATCGGAGAGAGGATCTTGGTTGATCGCATTAATCAATTTGATGGAGGCAGGAGAATCGGCGGGGTTAGCTTGTTCCAAGGCCGGTTTTGTGGTAGTAGCACTGCTGATTGAAGAGGCTGATGAAGGAAGAGGGGCAGTGTCTGAAGGGGGATCTTCCGCTTGAGGGGTAGGAAGATCAGATGTGCTGGGAATCATATCCGGGAAAGCCGGAATGGAGAGAGCAGGCGAGAAATCAATGGCAAATTGAAGGGCCTCGGCATCAGCAGAAGACAGTCCCAAGTTTTCTTCAACTTCTTTTCTGGCGTGATGAGCAACACTTTCACTGCTTTCACTGCTTCGAACGGAAGATCTAGGATTAGAGTGGGAACTCGTCGACTGATCTGCAGCGATGCTCCTGTGGGGTGAGCCGGACAAAGAGTCGATGTCTGTATGTGGGGTGTCCTGAAGCTCATTGGGGCTTGTCTGGGGTGATTGAGGCTTTGTGATTGAAAGGTGATCAGTGGAAGAGCTGGAGAAAGGTGATTTGGGTCCGTTTTGAATGGAAGTCATTGATGACCTGGCGTGATGAGGGGTCGAGCTGGTAGAACGTTGTGACTTTTCAGAGTGAGGATGGTAATCGGATTGAAACTTGTTAGGTAGTTTGCGTTCGCGTTCTACATCTTCCTTTCCAATCTTAAAGAACTCTCGCCATTCCTCAGTATCTTTGAGTGAATTCACAGCTGAGTCGGAAAGGTCAGATGATGTGCCGATAGAGCTTGAAGCAGGCTTGGGAAGGAGAGAATGAGTTGAAAGTTCAGTGAGATAAACACCAATTTGAACTTCTTCGTTTTGCTTGACAAGTTCGGTTCGGTTGATGTTCATCTTTTCAGATTCGGTTAGACTAACATCTACAAAATCCTCTTCGTCCGAACAAAAGATATTAGGGCTCGAGAGTGATACGTTTTTCCCAGGGGAGTGAGGAGGAGTCGGCGGTAGATTGACCGCAGGAGATTGACGTCGGTTTGAAATTGAAGATTTGATTTTAGGAGGTGAGAGTGATTTGGAGATAGATTGAAGAACTTGTTTGGTTGTCTTAGATTTCTTGTTTGAGCCAGGAGGACTTAAAAAGTTTGTTGGCATGGTCGAGATAGTAGCACGCTTATTGACTAAAGAAAATGAGTGATTGTTGGATGATGCACCTGTACGGATGTTGAGAGTTGAAGGTGAAAGGATAGGTGGAGGTTGTGGGAGTGACTGAAAGACTGTTGGGTAGGAAGTCCGTAGCTGGACCGAGTGAGATGTAACAGATGGGAAACAGAGAAGCAGTCAAGGTAAACAAGATCAGTACGAGGGAGAAAGGGTTTGTTTTAGATTAATAATTATGTAGGTAGGTAGTGTATGTGATGGATGGGTGTGATGAGAAAATCCAAACAAGGATAAACAAAGATTCCAAAAAGGAAAGAAAGACACAAGAGGAAAACGATCCGATGGATGAACCAAAACTAAAATGAGGATGATGAAGATGATGATGTCAAAGGGTTTTAAAGTCTCGATTCAAAGATCAGATACAGATTTCTGATGAAGAATAGTGATAGGAAAGAATGAGAGATTGGGTAGATTGTAGACTTGGTGATAGAAAGAAGAATCTTCAACTCATCAAACCGAGAGAAGCAGAAAGAGAGAAGCTAAAGAGTGCAAGGGAAGTGGAGACTGAACTA